TTTTTTATATTTTTAGTAGAGACGGGGTTTCACTGTGTTATCCAAGATGGTCTCGATCTCCTGACCTCGTGATCCGCCCGCCTTGGCCTCCCATAGTGCTGGGATTACAGGCATGAGCCACCGCGCCCGGCCGCCCTCCTTTTATCACTTAAAACTTCCCTTTTCACTGACTTTATTCTATTTGGAGCTTGGAAAAATGAAAGCATATGGGACAGAGGAGGGTTAAGAGACAATGACTGAAAAAAAGGGATGTGAGACCGTGGATGCGCAGGTATCAAATAAGTGGAGTGGAGAACTCTGTTGTGGAATTTAAGGAATTGAAATGAAAGTCACTAAAAGAAAAGAAGGCTTTTGCCTTTGCTACACCCGTAAGCCAGGCACAGATGTTCACATCTCTAAAGTTAAATGCTGTTTTAGTGAAAGGTTACTCATTTGAGCTGGGAGGAATGGAATTTTCTTCAGATCAAATCTCAAATAGCCTTCCTCTAGAAGAAAGACTGTAGTTTGATGGGCAAACTATGAAGGAAGATAGGTTTGCTCAAATCAATGTAGAGCTTAATCAGGAAAGTCTGCTTCTTTTGTCTACCATCCTTCATCCCTGGAAACCGAGCAATTTTTTCCTGAGCTCCAGGTGATGCAGTTTGGAAAATACGAGATCTGTGCATGTTTTCATTTGCCCTTGACACGTGCCCCAAGTAATGCAACATTCACTCTTAAACCTCTATTGCTTCATTGATTACCACTAACCAAATATTTTCTGGTTTATGTAACTATATTCAAAATATATTAAAAATACTCTTCACCAAACTCCCCAGTGTGAAGAATATGATGAACGTCCGTCCTAAGGATGTCTTGGCTACCACATCTCCAAAGCCAACAGTTGACGTTGTTGCCATGACCAGGTAAACTGACTCAAAATATGATATATTCTGTGAATTTCTACCTTTGAGCCAGGGATCACCAGAATTTTCCACCTGTCCAAAGAGAGAAGACTCAGGAAACGTCTCTGAATAGAATCCAAGAGAAAAGTTTTAAAGAATAGGCAAAACACGAGATTAATTGCACTTCATTCAATCCAAATGAAATACCAAATGGCTTTCAGGTTGCTATGAAGAGTTTACATAAATGGAAGAGTTTGTAAATCACGGGTAGTGAGTGTAAAGTCTTGGTTTCCTTAATTGTGATCATTGCTGAAATCTGAGGGGGCTTGTAGCTGCAGAACAGCATTTGAAAAGCTCCACAGGGCACAGATGCCTCTGTGCTCTCTTTTCAAGTAGGTGCAAGCATTGCATCCTGGAGCCAGGGGACTCCAAAGGCTCTCAGACTGAGCAATTATAACATATTCTCACTTTTTAACCAGATTAGGATTATCATTAAAGAAAGAAGCGCTTAAATGAGCACTTCATTTCAGTAAGCTTAAGCATATAGAATGCTAGTGTCTATGGAAAAACAAACCAATTTTCCAAGTTGTTTATCTCTTTGCACAATGATCTTTTTGTTGATTAAAAAAAAAAAACCTTTAAAAATATTTTCTTCTGATTTTTTCTTTGAGTCTTCACCTTTCAAGAAAACTAAATTTATCAGATTTTTTTATATTAGATAAATGAAGTAACTTAGACATTTATATCATATATAAATTTATTATAAATATGTGTAAAATATTATGTAACATATTATATATAACATACATTTATACATATATAGTTTATAATACAATTTTTTTGTTTTTTCTTTTTAGACCTTTTTTTCTCCTCACCTCACATATTTTCTAGATGTTTCCATTTCTATTTCACACAAAAGATGATAAAATCTTAGAGATGTCTAACTGGGGAAAGTGGGCTTTTTGTTTTGTTTTTAAGAACTAGGATGGAAATTAGAAACCATGCAGTTTGCTCAGATATTTGTTCCCTTTTTAAAAGTGATGTGCCAAGTGCTGACCCTTTCTTAAATTTAATGAATAGGTTAAGAGTGTGGACCCCTATAATACTCCACTCCAAAGTAAGAATGGGATTTTATGTCTGTTCATAAGTCTTACGGCTGATAGTGGATACTGTTGCAAAGTCACTGACTTCTGGAGTCTTCACTATTTTCCAAGACGTACATTACAAGAAAACCAAATTTAAGTCACACAGATTTAAATCATTCATATTTATTGGCACAGTTCCCTTTAAGCTAAAATCCCATAGTGTCTCTTACAACTCGTAGTACAGGGATTCAATATTATCCCTGCACAATA